CAAAACGAGGCAGGGACCACTTTAACTTCTTCTTATCACCTTAAATTAGGCTCCTTTAATCACACGCGGACGCAGGCGGCGCCTAATCGGATTATCAGGCAATAGATCTGCGAGGTTTTGGGGAATCTCTCCAGCTAAGATCACCATCATGTCCAAGTAAAGTGCAGCTTCATAAGGATGCGACTGAACGAGGTGATCCGGATTGTTGCTCCAGTCTGGATGAGTGGACCCTGAGCTGAGACAGGTGTGACCTTTTTATCTTAAATGCAGGAGTGTTTTTTTTTTTTTTTTTTTTAATTTTAACAAACCTGGTTAGTTTTATTTGTCCTGCATTAAAATAAATCTGATCTCCATAATCTAAAATTGCGGATGTTTCATGTGGACTTGATTTGACCCCATACCTCACCTTCCATCTGTGATCCCTAACTTGCACGTGTTGGAAATCCAGGGGACCACAACAGACTGCCTCAACCCGCCTTCGATTGTTCTGAGCACCATGAGAACTGGGGCTCTGGTTCTGTGAGGCCGGTCTGCCAGTGCTTCGCGTTGGGCCGTTCTGGTCGGACAGACGACCCTTGGTGGGGGCTTGAGAGATTTTGGGATTTCCTGCTCCACGTGGACCTTTGCGCAGACGGAGGAGGACATCATGGGGTGCTGTAGTGGCAGGTGCACCTTGGCCTTCATCTGTGGCATGCAGCTGGTAAGTGCTAAGATTACTATTGATCCTGCAAAGACGATGATCCATCCTGATAAAGGTCTTGTGAAAAATCTTGTAAGAGCTCAGCAAACAAATGAGTTGTCGTGGGGACACGTTGGAACATTTTCACTGGGATGACATGGAGCTGGGCATGGGCAGGCGGGAGAGTATAGATGAATTACACAAAGGTCACGATTTCAGAAGTTAATACGTATCTAACAACTCATGTGCTGTATGACTGAGACCATACTAAGAATTCATCGTGACCTTTGATGGGTTGCAAAATGATAGACACCAGCGTTGGAGAGAAATCGGTTTTGTCTGCTTCGGCATGAGGTCTGTGTGACATACGAAGAACAATGTGGACTTCCAGATAAGTCCCTCAGTTTACTGCTCTTTCTTCTATCGCCCTCTGGCATTGGGACCTGTTAGTAGAGAACAAGACAGACATGAACAAGAATGCATACATGAGTCCAAGAAGAGGTAGATAAACCTGAAGCAGTGGTGTTTTTTTGGTGGGGTTGGTGGCAGAATGGTGACTTTTTTTCTGTCACTCTTTCAAGTCCACGCCAGCCGAAGCACAGCTTCTTGCCCTTGCTGCCACTCAGAAACAGGCAGTAGTCCGGTCACCTGCCATTCAGATCTACAAACTAGCTTTTGCCCCAGAACATTTTGAGTTTGCCCTCATGATCTGACCTTTTCCGCAAGTGGGAGGTCTTTTTGTCACATGGAAGTACTGAAGAGGGTCTTCAGCGGAATGGGTTTTATGTTGATTAGAAGTAGACCTATTAATCTGCCAACAAATTTTTAATCAGCCGAGACAGACCGCTTTTAAAAATAGGCAATCGGCCATGTCGGCACATACTAATCAGTTACCAAGTAGGGAAATGAAGATGCAGCTGCTGGAGCTACAGCCAGCTCACTGTATCCCACAATTCAGCTGTGTTAAGCACAAACGCCCCTCTATATATTAATTTTAAGTGTACATGGTTTTCCAGTGGTTGTTGAATATGTTTCCTTAAGCTAAGTTATTATTGTCATGTGCTGTTAACTGAAAACCCTGCTAAAGATCAGAAGATAACTTCAGAAAATTTAATAAAAACAAGAAAATGTTTACATAAAAGACAGCGAAGTTCATGCTCAGTCATCCAGGTACCAAATCCAATAATGCTCAGTCAGGTCATCGGGACAGTTTCTTTTCTGAAGCAACATTTCGCCCTCTATCCAGAGGGCTTCATCAGTCTGCGGAGTCCAAAGTCAACTGTTTGGTTGGTCCACTTAAGGACTGTACTGCATGGTGGGGAAACCGTTTACTTGGGACTCCTCAGACTGATGAAGCCCTCTGGATAGAGGGTGCAACGTCTCTACAAAAACAGAAACCGTCCAGATGACCTGATTGAGCATTATTGGGTTTTTCATAAAAGAGCTACTTCATGCGGAAACTGAATCACAGGTTTGTGGTTTAGTCTCTGTAGCAGGTCAGCCCACTCATGTTCCTGTCGTGGTTGAAATGAAGAGCGGCACGTCACAATTCAAAGAGACTTTTGAAACGCAACACCCTTTGGTTATGACAGCTAATAAGAAAATAACAAGAGAGAACATCAATGAAACGTGTGTCCATGTGTCTGGTTTAAGGCGTACACCCAGAGACCTGTAAGGTCAGTGTTTAGACCGCGCTAACTGGATGGTTCTAGCTTTATAGAGGGATTTTCTTTGAGGTAACAGATCTAAAAGGAAGTCTAAATGGGAGCTTGCATGTTGTCAGCGTCGTTGATTTATTCATCCGCTCCCTTCCATCCCTTCAGACGGCTGCTGGATGATGTTGAAGCAGAAGCTGACTAAATGTGCTGTACTACAAGTGGAGCTGAGAGCAGAAATTGCCCCACTTTTGGCCTATAAATAGTATTATCAATTATTATTAGATGGCTTAGTTCAAATTAACATATCTATAATCAATTCAAAGACTCTAATAAGAAATGAGTTTATAAATATAATTATTATTGCAATGCTATTTTTTTAATCAATGGATTAAAAACTTTGAATTCAACTGTTTGTTCTCAGAAGTGTGTGTTTCAAATAAGAAGGCATCAGTGAATGCAAAACATATCCAGTAGTCCCTCGATTATCGCGGGGGTTACGTTCCACACATCACGGCGATAGCTGAAAAACCGCAAAGTAGGAACGCTTTATTTATTTTAGCATTTATGTATATTTTAAGGCTTTATAAACCCTTCCCACACTTTTGCAATGCTCTAAACTCTTAAACCTACATCATTTTAACAACATACGTATAAAAATGATGGATAAAAAGCCAATCCGCTATCACTGTACCATTATTAAGAAATACAATCTAATGAGCTTTGATAGCTTTATTAGTTTGTTTTTTCTTAAACTGTTCCATAAATGCATCAATCATGTAACACCTGAGCCATTACTGAGAGACAGAACAGCAGTAGAGTCACTAGAAGTACCACAAACCATGACAGTCAAATACCATTTTGCAGGACAACTTTTGGACAGACAGCCTTCTCTATTAGGAGTTGTAAGATTTGGAACTCATTACCATTTGATTTTAAAACCATAAGTGTCATTAAAATAGTAACTTCAAGGCTTAGGAATTTGATAAAGATGAACCAGAATTGTACTCATTTTTAAATATTGTAGTTGTTTTTGACTCAATAGTTTTAAATACATTGTTTTATCTTGCTTTTTCATCAGCTAATTCACAACACTTGTCCCTAATCAACAGTAAATACAATA